TATGTTAAGAAAAAGTAGGCATGATGGTTCATTTCAGATATTTTAGCAAGTTCTCTAGAAACGGCGTTTTTGTGATTGAATATTTGAATAGGCTATACCAAATATCTAGAACAGCCGAACTATCACGTTATTATCATTATTATTATTATTGGTGGGAAATTATAACAGGGGAATGTATTTGCCGTTTTAATATCAAGAACACTTCCGCGTTTTTGTGTGTATACAGGAATGTTAAAGATATCATTGAGGAAAACGAGGTTGACGTGACGTGATTGAATCAGGGAATCCGTGTGTCCACCACGGGAGAGGACCCTAACTGACTTTACATTGGCATCGTTTTCGTGGTGGCAGCACGTAATTTCAACCCATTACGTGCTGCCACCACGGAATGCGGTGTAAAGAGGTCGTGGTCATTTCACGTATTTCTGTGAGATCAGGTTAAAATGCCCAACTTTACAGTGCCTGGTAGAAAAAACAGTTTTGCCTAATTTATCCCTTAATCCTCTTAATGACAACTGTACAGGGAGCTGATTTTTTATGACTCACCTGTTCACATTTTATTAAGGCTTAAAGTTACACATAATTAAGGGCGGCTCGCTTTGAGTGACAGGCAGGCTGCCAATAGTGTCCCTGGCTTCTCAGTCAAATCCATCCCTCACTCCTCCACAGTGCAGCTTCTCACTCAAATATGGTCACTTCTAGCTCCAGACGGCCGAAGTGCCAAACTTGAGACTTCAGAATGGGAGTCCACAAAACAGTGGGTGACATCATAGCTACGTCCATTGTTTCTACAGTCTATGGTTATATGAACTATTTCTAAAGCCAGCCATTAAAAAACAAAACAAAACTGTACTGCTTTAAACATGATAACAGTGTCAGAAAGTTCTAAACAAATACCAAGCACAAATTTAATGCAATTTATAGCTACGTGTATTTTGTCAACAAGTTGTAAAAACACCATGTATAAATAATGGCATATTTTAGATATTAATATTAATATCTTTATGAGGAATGGCAGAACTCCTGAGGTCCCAAAATATAATTAGACTCTTCTTTAACTAATGAACTACTTACTTTGGCATGGCCAGCAGAGGTAGCAGAGGTGGTTTTTTTCAGTGTTTAATAACATCCCTTACTCCATCTGCAGTAGTTGGGGTGGATCAAATTGCAAGTTACACTAATGAAAATTTACGCTTAATTCAGTACAAATTAATGACAAGAATATACTATAGTAGAGACAAAATTCAGAAGTTTGAAAGTAGCTCCTCAGATAGATGTTTAAAATGTGGCACCCAGAGTGACTCCTTCATCCATGCCTTCTGGTATTGCGAGGAAACTAGAAAGACTTGGGAGAATATTGAAAGATGGATGTCTATAACTTGTAACACCAAAGTTGTATTTTCACCAATGATTTGTATCTTCCAAAATGTGGAGAAAGTAAGGTATCCAACTGGCTGGCAAATTCTTTTTTCATCATTAGTTTACAAGAAGCTTATACTGCAAAATTGGAAAAATAAGGAAGCACCTACAATTCAAAAATGGAAAGCATTAATGAAATATTATTTGAGCATTGAGAGGACAATGTCAGAGGACAGTAAGAGAGAGAAACAATTTAGCAAAATATTGAGTTTAATTTATGAAGCTCTGTAGATTGAGGGAGCCTGCAGGATCACCACATCCAGCCTGCATGAATCAAGGGAACCCTGTGTCTGGTGTCAGTTCTGTCCTGTTCGTTGCCCTTGTGTGTCTGTGTGTCTGTATGTCTGTGGCTGTGTGGGTGAGTGTGGGTGTCCGATAAATATGTATATGAGCATGTATGTACAGTACAGGCCAAAAGTTTGGACACACCTTCTCATTCAATGCGTTTTCTTTATTTTCATGACTATTTACATTGTAGATTCTCACTGAAGGCATCAAAACTATGAATGAACACATGTGGAGTTATGTACTTAACAAAAAAAGGTGAAATAACTGAAAACATATTTTATATTCTAGTTTCTTCAAAATAGCCACCCTTTGCTCTGATTACTGCTTTGCACACTCTTGGCATTCTCTCCATGAGCTTCAAGAGGTAGTCACCTGAAATGGTTTTCCAACAGTCTTGAAGGAGTTCCCAGAGGTGTTTAGCACTTGTTGGCCCCTTTGCCTTCACTCTGCGGTCCAGCTCACCCCAAACCATCTGGATTGGGTTCAGGTCCGGTGACTGTGGAGGCCAGGTCATCTGCTGCAGCACTCCATCACTCTCCTTCTTGGTCAAATAGCTCTTACACAGCCTGGAGGTGTGTTTGGGGTCATTGTCCTGTTGAAAAATAAATGCTCGTCCAACTAAACGCAAACCGGATGGGATGGCATGTCGCTGCAGGATGCTGTGGTAGCCATGCTGGTTCAGTGTGCCTTCAATTTTGAATAAATCCCCAACAGTGTCACCAGCAAAACACCCCCACACCATCACACCTCCTCCTCCATGCTTCACAGTGGGAACCAGGCATGTGGAATCCATCCGTTCACCTTTTCTGCGTCTCACAAAGACACGGCGGTTGGAACCAAAGATCTCAAATTTGGACTCATCAGACCAAAGCACAGATTTCCACTGGTCTAATGTCCATTCCTTGTGTTTCTTGGCCCAAACAAATCTCTTCTGCTTGTTGCCTCTCCTTAGCAGTGGTTTCCTAGCAGCTATTTGACCATGAAGGCCTGATTCGCGCAGTCTCCTCTTAACAGTTGTTCTAGAGATGGGTCTGCTGCTAGAACTCTGTGTGGCATTCATCTGGTCTCTGATCTGAGCTGCTGTTAACTTGCCATTTCTGAGGCTGGTGACTCGGATGAACTTATCCTCAGAAGCAGAGGTGACTCTTGGTCTTCCTTTCCTGGGTCGGTCCTCATGTGTGCCAGTTTCGTTGTAGCGCTTGATGGTTTTTGCGACTCCACTTGGGGACACATTTAAAGTTTTTGCAATTTTCCGGACTGACTGACCTTCATTTCTTAAAGTAATGATGGCCACTCGTTTTTCTTTAGTTAGCTGATTGGTTCTTGCCATAATATGAATTTTAACAGTTGTCCAATAGGGCTGTCGGCTGTGTATTAACCTGACTTCTGCACAACACAACTGATGGTCCCAACCCCATTGATAAAGCAAGAAATTCCACTAATTAACCCTGATAAGGCACACCTGTGAAGTGGAAACCATTTCAGGTGACTACCTCTTGAAGCTCATGGAGAGAATGCCAAGAGTGTGCAAAGCAGTAATCAGAGCAAAGGGTGGCTATTTTGAAGAAACTAGAATATAAAACATGTTTTCAGTTATTTCACCTTTTTTTGTTAAGTACATAACTCCACATGTGTTCATTCATAGTTTTGATGCCTTAAGTGAGAATCTACAATGTAAATAGTCATGAAAATAAAGAAAACGCATTGAATGAGAAGGTGTGTCCAAACTTTTGGCCTGTACTGTATATGAGTAGGGATGAAGTGTTACCTGTAATGATGGTCGCAAGTAACTGTATAGTTGCTAACTTGATTTCTTAAGATAAGTGATGGTAAGTTAACATTGAAACATGGAATGTATTGGATGCATACCCTCACTCATTCAATAAAAATAATTAGAAAAAACAAATTGCAAGTTACAAAGACATGGGTGTTCCAAGAAATCTAAAAAACTAGACAAAGTGTTTTCATTTTTATTAAAGAAGGGAGCACCAACATTAGAAAAAAAGGACGAGTCCCATAAATATTTTATATCTCCACTGATCCAATAACAGCAGGTACCCAATACCAGGTCTTTTTTGTGGCAGACATTTCGACGTGTCAGAGCAGGAAGTGTACAGGTCTTAGTAATAGCGTTGCTAACAGCCTCAGGCGATGTAGCTGGCACAGTTTCAGTTTATGGTTTTGTGAGAACTGGCTAGTAACATCCTCATAATTAGTTACGCCTAAGTTCCCTGCTATGACAGAAATGCCTGCTGTGTCTTTTTTGTACATTCAGTACAGAATACTATAATCAGAAGTACAAAATCAGCATGGTTGCCAGAACTTTATGAAGAAAAGAATCCAGGAGTACAAATGACAAAGAGACAGTTTGTTCTGCTAGCAGTAGCTCACTGACACATGGTTGTAATGAAACCAGCCATAAGCGTGAGGAGGCCAACCCAGCCTCATTATTTACTGAACAAGTTGTCCTTCAGTGGATTCTCTATTAAATTAAATACTCAGTGTGCTGCCAATATGACTATGCTGGTTCAGCTTTTGCCCCAAACCTGCCTTGTGTTCCCCTTATACATCTCATACATACTGTATCTCTTCCAATACGCAAGAGGCCTTGGTTTTTCTTGAAATCTGATTTTCTCAGCTGCAGTCATCAGTCATTACTCATGGCAGACCAGGCTAGTTTGACCGTTAGTGCTAGCTACTGAGAAAGGAGAAAGAAACATGGATAAAGCCGATAAAAAAGAAAGGGTGGCGCGGAAAAATCTTGAATAAAAAAACTTAAATCTTTGCAAGAAGAGGCAGCAAAGTGCTCCAAAATAACCGACCTGTTGGGCCGCGGCGTTGGTCAACGGGCTGAGGCTGCTGGTGTTGCTAATGACGGAGATGGAGCTGGAGCCAACAGTCCCATAGCAGGTGCATTAATGTTAGCTAACATTTGTGAGTGTGTAATGTGCAAGGTTGGCTTTGGCAAATTGCATATTTCTTCTAGGTGTCCGGTTCAAGAGGCCAACTAGCCTACTAGGTATTGCATTAAGTCATTATAATTTAAACCTGTACTAAAAGATAATATGTGCTTGCTTTTTTCCTGTGGATGCATCATGCAATTAACATTAGGTGGTGCTCCCAGTCCCGAGGACAATGAAGCTGAGGGACAGACTAACCCCAGCTGTGATGAGGGGGAGGATGAGACCAGAAATATGACAGGTGCAATGTGAAGGCATAGCCTACTATGCATTACATTTTAGCCAGAGGAAAAACTTTTTAGTAGTATTAAGTGGGATTTTTTTGTTGTAGTAATAAGTTGACTAAAGGGCCTGTTTCGCAATTTATACCTCCTTAGTTCATGGCTGTGAGCCATGGAGATATAAATTGGGCTTATGTAATACAAGAGCAGGGCTGGACAGACAATTATATTGTGCATAAAATTAGATGCATTAGGACAGAGTCATATACTCTTATTTTAAGTTGAATAATAAGCACATCGCCATTTGTGGCCAATTCATTATTGCATTTATTTTATAGTCTGTAATTACCTGGAAGGTAAAAGCCTGTATGCCTTGAAGTTGGTTGTTTCAATCTCTGAATATTAGCATTGATTTTATGATTTATGTCTTTGTATGATAATTAGTCAGTGCATTTGTGTAGTGTGTACAAGCATATAGAGGATTATAGGTAGAAACGCGTGGGCCAGTGTGTGGGCTGGTGCGTGGGCTGGTGCGCCTGAATGTCCCGGGCTGAATTTGTGTCCCAGTCCATCCCTGGTTGTAGGTATCCATTTGTCACAACATGTGTTTACACATAAAGTAATTACTAAAAAATAAGTTCAGATGGCCCACTGAATCTAGGAGGTATCTCCCATGATAAATATCTGGTGTATGATGGGTTTCCACAATTTTTTTTTTTTTTTTTTTTAAAAGACCTGCCTGGAACATCACAACTCAACTCTCCCTCCCTGTCCTGCCTCTCAGACAGATTTAGAGAACACATTAATGACCCAGAGTTGAGGTCAAACACCAAACATGCATTCTAAACCTCTGAGGTCAGAAGGCTCAACATCACCTCCTCTCGTCTTCTTTGAGTATGCACAGCACAATGCATACCTGCATCACTTGTGCTCCTGTGTATACCCACGTTGGTCCCTGTGAGACACATGGCTGCTTACCTATCGGCAATGTGTGTAAACTTTGCTTAGAAGTGGCATTTCTTGGGCAGTTCAGTAGCTCAGTGGGCACAGCATGCGCCCCATGTACAAAGGCAATGTCCTTGCCACAGCGGCCACGGGTTTGATTTCAGCCCATGGCTCTTTGCTGCATGTCGTCCCCTCTCTGTCTCCCCCCCTTCACACTTGAAACTGTCCTCTCATTAAAAGGCAAAAAGCCCCCAAAATAATCTTAAAATACAGAACCAGATCCTGCCTTCCACACAGTGATGTGTGATTATGCCTAAAAAAAATATATATATATATGTATACACACACACACACACACACACACACATATATATATATATGCATATACAATGTACAGAGTATATCTAACTTCTATACAATACCATTTTCAGTACCACTGGAGAAATTATATTATATATATTATTATATTGATACATCTATTTTTTTTTACATATATATATTTTTGACAACACTAATGAATATGTGTGTGTTATATGTGTATATATGTATTTACCTCCCTTTATCCTCTATTTTTGTCTTCTTTCGCTTCCTTGTCACCCTCTGTTATTAACACACCTCAAAGGGCAGTGCATGTTCTGTACGTGTGGCGTACGTGTGGCAAATCTGTTGTGGACAAACGTTTCCTCATAAGTCACATTTTGGACATTCTGATCACTGGGTGTGATTTGGCACATATTTAATTGGGTGTAATTCACAGCATTCCTTTTTTCAAGTTATGCAAGCCATTATTGCACGTTGCCACACCCACACCTTGTCATTAAATCATATGAGCATAATGGACGTCAGAACAACTGCATGACACACACATCGTTGTGCCTGCCTTAGTGAAAACACTTGAAGATGACTGAAATAAAAAACATTCATGAGCCTGAGGACTTTCAGGCAACATTCTTAAGAGGGCAGAGCATTAATAACCAGTTAATAGCCTAGTCACTAATTGAGCTGTGGCATTTACATCATTGGTGTGTCTGCTATTCAAAGGATGTTTTCCTGATTAAGGCCTCTATTCTGCAGCCATATTTAAAGGGATAGTACAGATGTTTTGAAGTAGGGTTGTAATGGGGTACTTTCCCATAGTCAGTGTATTCTATACTGTAGTTGTCAGTTGGCATGCCTCCAGTTTGGAGAAGCAGGCTGGAGTCCAACACAGAAGCTAAGCAATCTACAGCTGTGGATGGAGGTCAGCAACGAGACATATTTTACCCACCTTAAAAAATTCCTGCATAAAAAATCAATAGCAGTTTAAGTTTATGCTAAAGAGAGAGTATTTTCACTATTTTACCTTTTCACCATAAAGTCCATTCTGACGGGAAAACCGTTAACAGCTTCAGTTTCCCATCAATGTTCTTGTCAAAGAGAATATGAGTACAGTGCATTGATGGAGCAATCTACAGCTGTGGATGGAGGTCAGCAATGAGACATATTTTACCCACCTTAAAAAATTCCCGCATAAAAAATCAATAGCAGTTTAAGTTTATGCTAAAGAGAGAGTATTTTCACTATTTTACCTTTTCACCATAAAGTCCATTCTGACGGGAAAACCGTTAACAGCTTCAGTTTCCCATCAATGTTCTTGTCAAAGCCACCAGACTGCATTGAGAAAAACAGTAATTTTAGCTTGCTGAACACAGGAGCTGCTGGTCTACTGCTGCTTCGATAAATTAATTAGTCTGTGTCAAAGTGTGACTTCAGTGAATCTGAATTAACCCTTTTAAACACTCAAGTCACACAGAAACACAAACAAACCAGCTGAGTGATGCAGTGGTTAGACCAGCAGCTCCTGTGTTCAGCTATGTTAAATCACTGTTTTTCTCAATGGAGTCTGGCTTTGAAGAGAGCAATATCATGGCTTTATTCTCCCGGTGGAAACCACTGTCTGACATAAAGGTGAAGCAGTAAAAATACTCTCAATATTGTGTACACTTAAACTGAACTATCCCTTTAAGCGTAGGTGAGCTAGGCATCTCTAGTGCCTCACCACCACTGGGTGGAGAGGCACTAGAGACAAAGGAGAAGTCTTTTAGAATTAATTTTGGTGGCTCGCCTACTTTTAAAAGTCCTTCGCTAACTTACAATGGTACTAAACACCTGATGATGAGAAAAATCATACAGGCAAACTCTGACTCCACCTGCTGACTGCCACCTGTTTTGCTGCCCCTCAGCTGAATTACCCACACTGCTTTCGAATAATCAGATGATTGCTATGCTATGTAATAAAATTTCATTCAAACATTATATTAACAGGTGCGTCCTCAACTCTAGATGATTGAGATCAGTATCCAGGCATATTCTGATAATCGGCTATAAATCCAGGCTTTGCTCCTGGAATGACAGCAGGTCATAACGATTGGACTCTATCTTAGATGTTGTTTCATCATTTGTTGTTTACTACTTGCTGGCCAGATTGGTCTGCTGGGTGCACCGGGTAACTGAGTATTGTAGTGCAAAAGTGCAAAAGTCAAACATTGTCTGGTCACAGCAGTCTCACAAGGATGTGTGAATATGTTTGGGCTTTTGCCACTTGTGTTGGGATCAGTGATAGATAATCACACCACAAACCTGTGCCTCAATCATCCATAAAGGCACAAAGTTAGACGTCAAGTGTTTTTCCTGTATTAAGTAGTTGTAGATACTTATGTAAACTTATGAGTACAGTGCATTGATGGATTTTCTGTAGATGGTAACATTTGGTGTTTAAAAAAACACAAATTTATCTGCATTTCTGTGTGTGTGTGTGTGTGTGTGTGTGTGTGTGTGTGCACGCGCATGACTGGGTTGGTGGTTGGTGTGTGAGTGTGCGTATCTGTCTATCTGCAGCTAATCTCACAAACTACTGGACCAGTCAGCCTAATATTTTGTGTGCTTGCGTATGACTGTACACTCAAGAACCTCACCTGGTTGCAGTGATTCATAGTTGAAAAAAAAATGTTTTATTGACTGTTTAATACCATTATTGACTGCTGACTCCTCACTCCTCTTAACCAGCCAATAGAGGAGGCAAGTTTTCCAGAAATTGACTCAGCTAACACCAACCAAACTTACCCTCTGTTGCAGGCCATATTTTAGCTGTCATTGTGGCTCAAAACTGGACATCCACAGAAATCACCTGCAGATTAATTCCATACTTGATATTTCATGATCTACTAACGATACGAGATAAATGAATAACAACTTTTGTTATTCTCAGCACCGTCTTGACTGTAAGGGAGCTGGGAGGGACAATTCCACTGGTTGTCAGCTCTCCACAGTCCAGCTGCAACCCCTGCACAGCATCATAATGCAGCAGGAGCATTTCAGAACCGGAGCGATTTTGTAGACTTGCAGATTTTGTTGATTTGGTCATTTTTCATTGATATTTGTGTTTCTACCATAAGTAAGTGAGAAAGCTATGTAGTTGAGTTTTTTATTATATTTTTTTCATTGTGTTTATTGTTATTTCCTTCTTTGTTGTGCTGCAGCCTACAGACAAGTTAAAAGTCCAGTTCAGTCTGACAACTCACGTTTTAAATGTTTTTTGTAGTTAGAGTTTATAGATGTGAGATATTGATGAGGGATGATTAAATATTTCCGCCCTAGGCTGAGCCTGCAGGTGGATACTAGTTTGGAGGTGGGGCTGAAAGAGCGAGCAGCAGTACCAGTGCAGAGGGAGAGCTGGGAAGATTTAGCAGCTTAAATAGACCGCAGATTGGGAGGGTGTGTTTTGTAGATGACATATGGAGAGTGATGTATGACGTGTGTGTATGAGTCAGTGCAGCTCGGGTTGACTGCCTGAACTAACTCGCAGGCGTCACTCCATTTATGACATGGATCAAAGATCTGTGGCTGTGTTTTACTTGTTAAAAATGCATCAATCCTAATAATTATATTGTATTTTCTGAAACACGCTGCAGCATCTCTGCTGGAATTAATAATTTATCGAGAGCGGCAGCAATCAGCTTTGGCAGCTGGAACATGTTGGAAGTGTTTTAACACAGGGGCACGGTGTTGTTTCAGCATGTGTGAGATCCTCAGGTCTCAGCGGATATAAGACATGGCAGTTCAGGCTTCTGATTAATGTAATATTTACATTATGTATTTTTTATAGTAGTTTATATGTTGCAGTGTGATGGAAAGGAAACATGTTTAATGCATCAGACAGGGTTTAATTTGTTGTTTTTAGAAGAGAAAATAAATCACAGAAAGTTTTAAGAAAAAAACCCCAACAATGATTGTTTCCTTACTGTTGATAACTACAGATATCAGAGCTTGTGGAACATAAAGTGATGTAACAAGCTCTTAGGGCCAGTTGCAGCATTTGCAGCTGTCTTGAAACACCAAATTAGCTGGGCAGTTTTGGACCCAGGTGATGCCGTTGGCACAACTGTAAAAGGAACCTGGGGCATCAGTCTTGGCATAAATCCCACCAGGCTTTGTTGCACAGAAGTTGTCTGGGTTTTGGGATGAGGTAGGGGTTGTTGGTCTGGGATGAAGTGTAGCGTGAGGCTTATCTGTGTGTGAGGGTGGAGTTATTATATTGGGGATGGTTCTTTTAGTGGGAAGGGGAGGAAGACCTGAAGAAATAATAGTAAATTATCAGTTTTCTGTACAGTCAAAATTCACAAATGTCAGTTAATTTATTTTGTGTGGATTATGAAAGAAAACACTTTCAAGCAATAAGTAGTTTCTACTTACTCGGGTCTAAAAGAGAGCGGAGGTGGCTAATGAGTGGGTAGTTTCCTTGTCCACAAAACTGTCCATTAAAGTCATCCAGATCCAGAGCCCAGACAAATGCTCCTCCAAATCTGTTGTCCTTTAGATAACGGACCTGAATAAATAATGATGGAAACACTTCAGTAACAATGTATACAAGTTAACATTGTATTTAAGTTCTTGTATCTGGCAAAAGAAATGATTAACAGTTTTACTGAAACACATGGCTACCTTCGTCTCAAAACTTGCTTTGTTGTCATATCCAACCCACTCATTTTGTTTGACCGCATATGGAACTTTCTGGTCCTCAATCAACTGGACACTGGCCCCTTGAAGAAAAGCGCAAATCTGAAAAGGGTTAAATTTCAAATTTTAAACTATAGTATAAAAGCTCTGTTTGATGACTTTGTAATAAATATTATTTTATCAGTTACATAGAGTTACTAATAGACAGTTAAATGCAACGAGTTGTTTCCAGTTTCACCTCATAATAAGACCAGAATCCGCCCTCCCTCGTAAAAGTACCAGCAACAGCAGGACCACTGGTTGGTGCTCCAACGCCACTGGATTGAGTAGACAGTCGAAATGTTCTCCCGTATGTAGCAAAGCCCATGTTTAGCTTTTCAACAGGTGTTCCTTTGTCCCGCCAGTATCTCATGGCAAAGTCCTGAAATGTGAATGATAAGTAACAGACAGAAATCAATGATTCCATCTAAATGTGGCACAAATTTAAACCGAATTTCCAGATATGGGTGAGAGAAAATACAAATTATATTCATAATCAATATCATGATCATTTGTCAATGTCATATGCAGTATCATTTTTAATATCATGTGCAATTCTGCTTCTCATTGTTATATCATTTACACTTTTTCCATATTTTATTCATTTTTAGTTTACTCTTCTACCTAACTTATTTTTTACGCCTTAAACACCTAAATTTTGACATGAGGAACCCAGGGTGGGGGAACCCTTCTGTGTGGAGTTTGCATGTTCTCCCCATGTCAGGGTGGGTTTTCTCCGGGTACTCCAGCTTCCTCCCACAGTCCAAAGACATGCAGGTTAAGTTAAGTGGTGACTCTAAAATTGCCCATAGCATGAATGGTTGTCTATCTCTTAATGTGAGCCCTGCAATCTGGCCAACTGTCCAGGGTGTACCCCGCCTGTTGCCCAGTGTCATCTGGGATGGACTCCAGCCCCCTCGCAATCCTTAACAGGATAAGCGGTTATGGAAAATGAATGAACTGAATTAAATTGAATATTAGGAGTTTGGCTCATTGAGAAAAACAGTTGGTGGTGCTCCAGTTGTCATTAAACCATTGTAGAAGAAGGCAGTGCAATGAGATCACATAATTAAAAGTGCCAGTCAAACCTCATTCAAAGGAAAAACAGATGGACATATGCCACTTTAAAATTGGTCTCCCTTCCAGGGCTTCATAATGTGCCATTAGGGCAGTGTCCCCCGTTGTTATTACAGCGGTGCTGGGGGCACCCTCCCCTACAGATTCGAGGTTGCTGGACAGGGCACGCTGGAGACTGATTTGTTTGCCCACGGGCGGCTGCCGTGGCAGGGCCGCATCGGCGCGTCCTTGATCTTCGGTTTTCCAGTGGACCGTTTGAGCAAGTCCGGCTTCTCTGCTGCTAACGCTGCTGCCGGGATACAGCTGAGGAGACTGCTAATGCTATGTACCGAGACACTGCTAATGTGCTGCTGTAGTTCAGTCGTAACTGTAACTGATGCTGAGACTCTACTGACTGCGTGACTGGTAGACGGCGGTGGCACAACAGGCCAAAACACAAATTCAAAACATAAACATGATTTGGGGACTGTAAAAATGTTTTTTAAATGCGAATATTCTGGCTGTACTATTGTTGTCGGTGAGATCAGTATGTTATATGAACATTATTCCCAGTGGTCGAATTGTTAATTTTTAACAAGGGGGATGCAATGTAGCTTTGATTTTTTTGCGTGCACACATCATCAAATATGACAGCACAGAAGAGCAAAATTAATCAAGATAAAGAAAAATGGCATGACCTATACCTGCTGCCTTTAAAAACACAAATAATGCAGTAGTATTGCTATTGCAATACAGACAAAAAACATTTTAGAGTATTCATAAGAGTAGCTCTGAAATAGCTGTGAAAATGAATCTTAGAGTCACTCTTATCCTATAGACATTTCCTTAGCCAGTTATAATTTCTCCTAATCTGTGAAGCCTTGGGCTGATAATTGGTGCTGCTGTCAGGTCCCTGTCCTGATAACTGCCTGGTTTCTCCCTGTCTCTCTTCTATCTATTGCAATAATATAGATAATAAATGTGCAAAGCAAAATTAAAAAATAGAATTAAGAAAAGTAGTGGTGACATAGCTGTAGAAATTAATCGCACAGTCACTTTTATGCTATAGATATTTTCTCTCAGCCAGTTATAATCTCTCCTGCATGATCATCCTGCTGGTCCACTGTCTCCTCCCTGACCCTGCTCTTTATGTTGTGGCAATAAAGATTAAAAAAATATGTGGAAAGCAATAGTGAGCACAAGTTCTTATTAAGAAGGAGTGGGTTTATTTCTAGCATGAAACTAGCTAGCAAGGTATTTAACATAGGTAACAATAACATTAGTATTCTTGTTAACTAGTTTAACTTGATATATTGGCATCTATTAATTAGTCATCATTTAGCTAACATTATCTACATGCAACAGCATTACTCAACTTACACGGGTTGTTTGGAAGAAACTGTGCAAGGTTTTTTGCTTCTTGCTGGCTGCTTTGCTGAACATAGTTAACACTCATCAGCACTGCCCAGCAGCACATGTCTTGTCTGTGTGGATTGACTCTGATCATCAACAGCGTGTGTATGCGCCTTCTCATGGTGCGTTTAAAGACGGCTCGGAAAAACACGTTGCCACATGTTAAAAACGAATTGGACAGTGGTAACGTCTGTAAAAGCTGCGGGGGATGGAGGGCACAGATACGGGAAGTGCGGTGGACATGTCCCCCCTCATCCCCCCTCAATTCAACCACTGATTATTCCTTAGTCTTTGTGACATATTAGGATGATTTCACGACTATTTGCTTTAGATTTCTTACATATAGCTCCTTTAAATCATGATAAATTTAAGTATTTATTTTGTTGCACTTTGTCAGATTTTACATTTATTGACGCCCCAATGTTTCCACCTCAGCCAAGCATAAATACCTTTCGCTATATTTCAATTTTCAGTGATTCCAATGGGGTTTTTTAAGCACAAATTGAAAATCTGAATAAAATAGTTGGATGGAAATGCTCTTAACAAGAAAGAAAGAGACAAAGAAACTTTGCATCGGAGGAGAGTAAAGCTGAGTACTCACAATACTTAAGTAAACGTGTTCCCCGGTGTCATGGGATCCGTTGTATAAGGGGCTGTGATGTCCTGTCACAGTCTCCCAGGTGCCATGAAAGTCATACGTCATCACATTAATAAAGTCCAGGTACCTGTTAAAATGCATGTGAAATCAGATTCACCCAAAACGTGATGCCAGCTAATCATGGGAATAATGGGAGTAGATATTTGATGTACTTTGCCATCTCTGCGATTTCATAACCAGCATCGATGGTTCCTTTCCCAGCAGCCACAGCAGCAGAGACCATTAATCTGGGCTTGCAACTGGCTGTCCCCTCAGCCTGGTAGGCCTCTAGGAGTTCCTGTGCACCACAGAATCATGGTTAAGTCTCTTTGTGGTTCACGTTAAACATCATTTGAACATCAGAACAGTAATTTTGGATCTGACCTTGCATAACAATGTAAATTTCTGCTTGTCCTCCAGAGGACTTCCTCTTGCAGCGGGGTATTCCCAATCCAAATCAAGTCCATCAAAACCATATTCTCTCAGCAGTTTGATAGAAGACTGGATAAATGTATTTCGGTTGGTGGGTGTTGACACCATCGTAGTGAATCTGGGTCGTATTTTGGGGAGAGAAAATTGCTCTCAAGAAGACACAGTGCACTGATTATTATGGATTGTTTTATGTAAGATATCTTACTTTTGTGATCCAAAGTTCCAGCCTCCAACTGCCAACAGTGTTTTAAGATTTGGATTCCTGTGGGGATACACAAATTTAGTTGGCTGTAATCACTATTTTGCACAATATAATGCTAGAATATCCTGCACTGACCTCTGTTTGAGTCCATTAAAGGATTTATAGAGCACATCATCGTTCCATTCTATGGTGGACAACTCATTTGCCTCGCTTATACCAGCAAAGGCATAAATCAGGTGGGTACACAGGTTTGGATCAACATTTAGAGGCATAAACTTCCCACTGCCGGGTCGGTACTGGGACCAGTTAGTGAAATAACACACCAGTCTAAGGGATGAGACTAAACGTAGTAGAGCAGAAAATGTTTTCATTAATCTTTGAGGAATAATCAGTGACTAGACATTTAACAATTTACACTTTGTTCAGGTGCTGCTAAGATTGTTCAGTATTAATTATGGATTCACAAACTCACCCAAACTGCCAAGGGAAAGACAGAGACCTTGAAAATTACAGATTTAGTTAAATATTTGGTACAATAGATTTTGTATAAACAATTTTATGCCTTTTTGTTTGTGTCTTACCTGCAATCAGAATTAGCTTGGTCATGTTGCTTGTGTTTCGATTAGCTGTTGTTATGTAAAAAATAGAGCACCAAAAAGCTTTCTGCAGCTGACGAACAATACATAAACCATAGTAATCATTAACCAGGAACAGATTGAACGTCCCAAAGTTTGGACATTAGGCTGTTGCATCATCCAAGTAAGTCAAATAACAGAGGCTGGTAAAAGAGTGAGTGACCCTTTGTAATCAATACAGTCTAATTCCCTCTGTTGCTGATCATTACTCAATATTTGGCCCATCTGACATTTATATCAACCATGCATCTTGCACTTTGACTGGCATCAGTTCCACAATTTCTTCAAAAGCTTTCGACATTCTTAGAGCATCCCAGATATCAGCTTGTGTTTTATTTTCTAAGATGTTTGGTGGCATTGAGTTCAGATGAGTGGACTTCAGTGTATGTTCAGGGTCAGCGTCCTGCTTAAAAGTGAATCCTCCTTTTACAAACTTAAAGCCAGACAGGCATATAAAAGCCAGTAGTGTATCTCAGTGTGCAGTGAAGTAGAAAGCAAACTGATATGGTTACAAAATCTTGTAAACAAATTGTTTTCCACATGAAAAAGTAGCAAGTTGAGTGCTGTTGTGCAGTCTTGTCTTATTTTTGTGAGGTAAACCTTTTTTGTTTCATGCCAGAGTCATGTGAACATGTTTTGTTCATTGGGGTAGTCTATGAATATGATTCTTTTAATCAAAAAAAAGAGACATTTTAGAAATAAGACACTTCTTTGTTTCAAGAATAACACATTTATTTAAGCCCAGTTGCAGCAGTTGCATTTGTCATTGAAAACAAGATTAGTTGGACATTGCTGGAGGTATGTAATTCCATGGAAACACTGATAAAAGGAGTTGCGGTTCTTGTCATTTACATAGAGGCCGTCAGCCTTCCCAGCACAGAAACTACCTCCAGAAATAACACCTGTGGTGGTCGTTTTGGCATCAGTAGTTGTGGGAGTGGTGGCAGTCGTGCTGGGTAAGCCTGGTCGGGTCGTAGTGATCACTGGTGGATGTGTGGTTACAGGAGGTGGAGGCGGTAAGTCTAGTAAGATAAAAATAGAATTAAATTCAAGACATTATGGTAGGTTTTACCCGTAAAGTGGAGATGATAAAACTTTTACATGCCATGCATTGTTGAGGTCTGATTTCTGTTTACCTGAATCCAGAAGAGAGCGCAGATAACCAATGAGGGGGTAGTTTCCCTGTCCACAGAACTGTCCACTGAAATCATCCAGATCTAGAGACCAGATGAAGGCTCCTCCATATTTGTTATGTTTCAGGTACCGTACCTGTGGAATATCAGATATGGAGAGTGCTGCAGTTTAAAATGCAAGCTCTGTTGTTTTATTACATATAACCAGTGTAACATATTGTTTGTTACGCATCCTAAGACCTTTGGAAGGGGAATGAAATTAGAAAAAAAACATTTTGTTTTTATTCATAGAAAAGAGTTTGATCACACTAATTGGTTAGTTTGGTGGTTTATTTTAATTACAGTCCAGTTAAAGATGAAATTATATTTGCGCTATTGCGCTATTTTGTGGCCTCTGAATGGTCTAGCTTGGCCTCATCCAGATATGAATTAAATTAAGAAAGCAACATTTCAAACTAAAAGAGATTCAGTCAGGCATTGTCATATAAATATCATAATGCAACAACATATTGAATGTAATACATGTTTCTTCTTTTATTTTCCATAAAATCATGTTTTATTTTCTGTATGTGAGTATCTGATATTGTCGCCTCACAGCAAGAGGCTTCCTGGTTCGAACCCAGGGTGGGGGAGCCCCTCTGTGCAGAGCTTGTCATAAGACATGCCGGTTAGGTTTATTGGAGACACACCCGTAGGTGTGAGTGTGAATCGTTGTCTGTATCTATGTGCCTGCGATAGTCTGATGACCTGTCCAGGGTGTACCCCGCCTCTTGCCCAATGTCAGCAGGGATAGGCTCCAGCCTAGGTGAAGTCAGTATCAACATATCCTGCATGTCTTATCAGAAAATGCTACATTTGGAATAATGGCATAAAGCTTAATCAGAAATAGCCATTCCGAATATGCTGTTTACATGACCTGTATCAAATTCATGTAGTCATATTTGGAATATTCAAATATTAGCGTACATGTAAAAATACCCATTGTGATCAGTTGTACCCAGCCCAAGTGCTAATTTAGGAAGCAAACTGATAGCTGGCGAGAAGTGGTAGCGATAAGCACCTTTTATCTTGCTTATATAATCTCCATAAACATAGATGTGAAGGATGACATGTTATTTATTACCTTGATTTCAAAGCTCTGCTTGTTATCAAACCCAACCCACTCATTTCCTTTAATGGCATATGGCACCATTTGCTCATCAATCCAGTGGACACCGCCTCCTTGGAGGAACGTGCAAATCTGTAGAAATGAAAAAAAATGACACTTAATCACCTTCAACATGCTTTGTGATGTGATGAGCTCTCTATTTATGTTGGGATTGTATTAATTAAATCTGAGTTCATTTTAGTTATGTATCAAATTGTGCCTCAGTGTTGCTCTCATGTTGAACCTGACCTCATAGTAGGACCAAAACCCAGCTTCACGGGTGTAGGGCCCAGCAGAGGCTGCTCCACTAGCTGGTGCTCCAACGCCGTTTGCTGATGATGTTGTGCGAAATGTGCGTCCATATGTAGCAAAACCAAGTATGAGCTTTTCAAGAGGAGCTCCTTGGTCTCTCCAGTATTTTATAGCAAAGTCCTGTGAGAGGAAAATAAGATAATTTGTACTGAAAACTAAGACATGTTAGGTATTCAGCCCTGTTGGGTACTGAGGATGATAACTGAGGATTTTACTCACCATATTGAAGTAGATGAGCTCACCCTGATCGAAAGAGCTGCGGTACAGAGGGCTGTTGTGACCAGTGAATGGATCCCAGGCTCCGTGGAAGTCATAGGTCATGACATTTATGAAGTCGAGGAATCTGATAGACAAGTATATTGTCACAAAGTGCAAAAGAAAGCATTTGTTTTTTTAACTTTAAAGCTGTAGCTGGTAACTTTTATGAAAAATACTGTGTTGACATATTTATGGAAATTGTCACTATATTCACACAGCACTAAATGAGACAGATAATCTGTGGAAAATATCCTGTTCCTCTGCCTACTCTATACTTTTGCAGCACTTTTAAGGGCCGTACTGCAACTGAACCAAACCAGCTAATCAGAGCTGTTGAGTCTCTAAGCAGTTTTCAATCGTATCAATCACTGAATGTAAACAGCGGTCAGTGCTGATCAAATATGAATCAAGATTCAAATATGGCAAAAGCTATTTTCATAAAAGTTACCAACTGTAGCTTTAAAGCTAAATGACTCCCTGTCACAGAAACTCACTTTGAGACGTCAGCAATCTCATATCCATTGTCGATGTTTCCCTTTCCAGCAGCCACTGCAGCTGTGAGCAGCAGTCGTGGTCTTCTGGTCTCAGCGGCTTCTTTTTCAAAGGCAGCGAGTAATTCCTAAACAATGTGAGAATATTAAAAGTCACACTGCTGTAGTATCTCAAATCAGTGTTGGTGTGGCATCCTGTAGGGCTCTGTCATTACTGGGGAGGGGTAGATCTTACAAACTGACCTGGCAGAGCACTGTGAACCTCTTCTTGTCTTGTGGTGGGCTTCCTCGTGCTCCAGGATACTCCCAGTCCAGGTCCAGCCCGTCAAAGCCATGCAGTCTCAAGAATTTGATAGAGGATTGGATGAATCTCTGGCGGTTGGCAGGGGATGCGACCATGATGGTAAATCTGTAAACATGTAAAAACAAGTTGGAGACATTGTTGATGGTGTTCTCATTATGAGATACAGCCTCAGAGTTCCTTGCTGTTGAAGTGTTGTGGACTCACTGTGTACTTCCAAAGTTCCACCCACCAACGGCCAGCAGAGTCTTCAGCCGCGGGTTTCTGTGCAGAAATGCGCAAAAAAATGTAAATTCAATTCTTATATTCCATTACAATTAAAAGACCTGCATTCAAAATACAAATCAAATTTTTTTTTTCCTCCACTTTATGAATTCATTAAATAATAAAACTACATACTGTATAGTGATCATGATCCCTTACTTTACCCCCTACATTTTGCTTTTCCTTCTTCCTTTGTGCATGGGTTTGTGTTTTTTCCTGTAACCTATTTTTCTTTCCATTTAGTTAAAATTCCACCACTGCAGTTAATCTACCAGTTTTTACAATCTCCATATATGGAAAATTGAATGACACCGTTTAACCAACTTCCTCTCGACTGCTGATATGACTGCTTGTTGTGAAATAACAGTGCATACGACCACAGAAAGATGATAAAGCATGAAGGAAAAACTCACCTGTTCTTAAGATCATTGAAGGATTTATAGAGAACATCATCATTCCACTCATAGGGCGACAGCTCATTAGAATGGCTGATTATTGAGAAGGCGTAGATCAGGTGCGTGCAGAGGTTGGGGTCTACATTGGCCGGCAGATATTTGCCGACACCAGGTCGATACTGGGACCAGTTGGTGAAGTAGCACACCAGTTTGGTGGAGGACACTTTTGGAGAGGAGAGAAATAATTAGAATCAAGTTTCTACTCAAGGTCAGGGTCATTAAAGGGACAGTTCACCTGTCACCTCATAATCAAAACTACATATATATCATCATAACTGTAGTGTTATTCATCACTGTAGATTGTTCTGGTGTGAGTCGGAGAGTGTTGCAGATGTCCACCCTCTCTTGAATATGATTGAACTAGATGGCACTCAGCTTGTGGTGCTCAAAGTGACCAAAAACATACATTTAAAAAACTCAACATCTATGTCTCTTTCCAGAAATCATGACCTGGTTATTGAAGATAATCCACAGACCCTGGTGTGACATGTTTCATGTAGGAACTATTTTCTCTCCACCTACTACACAGAAGGAAGCGTGTGTCTACTCATGGACTAGAGGCTTGTGCTCGTGGCAAAGCAAAATGTAAACATTAGTGGTGTCATCCTTGGCTGAGCTAGCTTGGTAGTGAGAAGTGAGCTTGCAGTAGATGCTTCCTTTTGGCGGGTGTAATAGGAAGGAAGAAAA